ATTTCTTGTTATACAACCTGCACAAATACTTTCAAGGCCATGTTATAAAGTATGTTTTTTATCGTAAATTAAGAAAATTTCTAAAAATGACTCTCTAAATTATAATGATATTATTTTCTCTAATAGTTAACATAGCTTAATTCAATAAAAGCGACTATGTCCATATCCGACATACGTTTTGAAATGAAGAAAAAATTTTACATTAAAAAAAAAAGAAACTCAAACTTTGACATATCTTCTCATGTATTTTATCTGAATATCAATTTTTCTGATGAAGATTGACTTTTTCTTTGACGCGACAGGAGATGACTTGAATGTACTTTTTTATTTCGAAGAATTGATTTATTACCTTTTGTATTGCCGTTCTTTGTACTAGTTGATAAAGAATTTATAGTATAAAGACGTTTTTTTTTTTACAATAAATATAATATATTGAAAATAATATTATTTAGATAATGCTTATTGCTCGTGATGATATTGAAGAATTTCCTCCATATCTTCAAAAAAATATTGTTTATGTTCGTACAGCTGAACAATTAAAACCATTTATATTATCAAAATTAATTAATGCTGAATATGCTGCATATCGTTGTCGAACATTTTCATTATTACAAGAACGTACACGTTGTTCATATTTAAAAACTTTATGTGAAAATTTATCGGATAAAAATTATGAAATTTTATGTGATGAACAAAAACGTCCTAGTCATCGTCGTTTATCATTATTATCAAATTCAACACGAAAACGTTATTTATCATCAATGAAAAAAATATTTACAAGAAGTAATAGTACACCTGATGGTCCTCGTCTATCAATAAAATCTGATCAAATAAAAATAAAACCAAATAAAAAATTATTACGATTAGGAAAATCAATGGATAGTGCTGAAAATCATCAACGTTTATCAATGACAGCTTCATCACCTGAGTAAATTTAAATAATTCTTTGTATATATTTAGATTCATTTTGTTTTCTATATTTTATAGACATGATTTTCCTCATGAAAATGATCTGATAAATCGGTATGAAAATTTTTTTATTAAAAATAATTGTTACATTTATATGAATTCTATGTTATTTTTTTTATTTATTTAGATATATGAATGGTCGAAGTGATGATAGTTTAAATAGTAGTGGTGATATAACAAATTCAACAATGCAACATTATTCGTTACATTCAAAACAAGTTTATTATGCCGATGAATCAGATGAAGGATTGGTAAAAACAAAAATATTATTTTAATTTTAATTTCTCAGAAACAAAAACAAAGCTTTATGTTGTTTGTTACTTTTGTAGGATAGTATGTCATCAGCTGATACAGCTCGTCTACCATATGATAGTGATGATCAAGATGGTAAATAAACTTTTCTTTTTTTAATTTTTATTGTTCATTTTCTTTTGTTTAGCTTATCGACAACAAATTCGTGAAAAATCTCATCCAGTATGTTTTGTTTGAAAATATTTCATAATCATTCATTTTGTCAAAAATGATCTAAAAACAAAAGTGTTGAAGTATATAGGATAGACATTTGTACTTTCATATTATATGAACTACTTTTTTGAAAAATTAAGTAAAATTATGATAAAAGAAAAGTGTCCTAAAATCAATAGAATAAATAATTATCAACAAAAACTAGATTTGTATTTCATATTTTAAATTCGAAGACATTGTACTAAACAACTTTTTCTCTACAATTTAGTCTCATATATGGCCTCTTATATCTACCCAACGTCATATTTATACACCTCAAACAGCTGGTATTCATATAAGTGAAGAAGCAACTGTTTAAATATGTTTTGTTTGTTTTATGTGGTTCATTTTTATAAAAAATGTACTTGTGTTTGTTTGTTTGTTTTTTTTTTAAATTTCTCAATTTATAGATATATGCATGTGTTTGTTTATCTTCTTTTATTTCGTTTATCTTGTTTTTGTTTTTCATTATTGTGGCAGACATTATTAACAGAGATTATTTTTTGTGTGCACATTAATATATAAAAATATACATAGACTGGAGTTTTTGATTGACGATGTATAGAAATATATACATATTGTGATGAATATTAGAAATATATTTGATGAACAAAACTATTTCTTAAGCCGGTACATCTCATGTAAGAATACACATTTTATTTGAAATGAAGTCTGAGGTTAAAAGTCTCGAGATAATTATGGCTACTCAATTGCGATACACTTCAATATACTTTAGATGCATAAAAAAAATGATGGATGAGGAATATTGATAAAAAAAAATCAGTTTTATCTAGAGATTAGTAAGAGTCTAAGTCTGGTTGCAGACAAGAATTACATGATTCATTTAACATCGTTATTTTGTCGAAAATTTATTTGTATTGTCCGATATATCTTTAATATATAACTTCTATTTTCCTAATGATAATATACATACTATATATGTCATAGAAAGCAGCTAATATAATTTTTACTCTTCGTTTTGTCAGTTTAACAACCATATTAGCCTGTCATATAAATTGATTTTATCGCTCAGTAAGCTATCGTTCATACTAGCCTTTTTCTCGATGAGTTTCGACATATGCTGCTGAATTTCGCCTAAAATATAGAATTCAATTAGTTCGTATTTTTCTATGTCCATCTCATTCTAACTCTGCTAGATGAAAAATACAATTGCCTTAATCTACAGTTTCAAAATGATGTAAGCACTGATATTATGAACGCGCCATTACTCATTTCTAGACAATTAAACGTTCACTCACTATTATTTCCTCCGATTATATGCATGAGTTCCACAAAATAGTTCTTCTGATTATAGAATACAGAAATCATTCTTTTATTCATGTTCTATTTTACTTAAGGAAGTAAATGAAAACGTGGTCAACATGTGATTCATTGTGACATAATGGATGTGAAGGAATAAATGAGTCTCGCAGTATTTTTTTAAATATCTCTGTCATATCTTCTCGTTTCAAACTGAACTATTTTCCAAACGACGCAGTACAAATTTGTCTACAGAATTTTTCTTTTGGCTGATAAAAAATTACTAAAAATGTTTAGAATTACTATTTCAGATACTATGAAATGTGCTCGAACTAATATGATATACAAAAGATGAGGTTACTCTTAAACAACTATTCAATAGAAGCCAATTTTTGGATAGGAGGTCCAAATGAACTATATTTTCTCTTATGATTGTAATCTGATCAAGAGGATCAACAAAAATGTCCTAGACTGAATTGTTGATTTATAAACTAAAAATTACGTACCAAAAGAATAACTTTTGTCTCGAATCAATTGTCTGCTTTCCAACACAAATCTTTGAGTGTCGAGACGTATTTTGTTTTTGAATCGAAAAAAACTTGTCAGTGTGGTTCCATGAGGGATCAAAGTGTGGAACTCACGTATATTCTTCTTCTGGCATCGTCAATCGTAAATGAATGAGATGCGTTATCGATAGATTCCATTTGATATTTATGATCAACATGAATTCGAATCAATTTAATCATCCTAATTAAACTATTCAGCAACATTAAATGTCATCTAATCAGTGATTAAATATAGCTAGACTAAATCCAAAGTATTCTGATGAAACTCTTATAGAGTATCCATCATTAGAATTACATAATTCACTTTTTATCGTATCAGTTTAGTGAAAAATCGATAAGAATGAAGAAAAGGCAAAGATTTATAAATATTTTTTAAAGATTATTTCTATGCTACTACATAAACTATCTTCAGATCAATAAATAATAGGATATATAATTCAAAGTAATCTAGATCCAGCATTAAATTAACAGATAATTAATATGATTAATCCAATACACATTACCTAATGATAATTCTGATATAATAATAATACTTGATCTTCTTCTTGCGCTTTTCTATTTCATCTGGTGACATTGGTATCTTCATCGCGCAGCAATGAACCCACACAGATTAAATAAGATCTTTACTACGCACCAATAAATGATTAAATGTGAAAATCGTTCGAATTAAAATGTTCTTCCAAACATACTCATTATTGTTTCTATTAAATTATCTGGATAATATATAAAAAGCCGACAAGAATGAATGAAGATTAACCGTTAAGTAGCATTTCTTGAACATTATGTTTATCTTCAACGATAAATAAGTGATATCGTTAATGAGCAATGGGTAGGGGCTCAACTAACATGCCATCGATGAATATTAGATGATACATTAATAGTGAAATATTCACGTTAATCTACATCTCTGAAAGCCAATAGTGAGCGAGCATTATAAAATAATATCCATATTTTTGAACTTTACTTTACACAAAATGTCTAAACGATGGTCATTTTTTGAGCTGTGTTTAGATCTTTCAATTATCAATGAAATAGTTGAACCAATCCATCTTTCGTCCTACAGAAATGTCGACAACATATCATCGTGTCATCCATTCTAAATGTGGAGAAAACAATTGAATCGAGATCGGTTAAGAATTGTATTTTTTTAATTAATGAATGCTCAGAATCACTAAATTATCTTGGTATTACCAATAACCAGAGTAGATTTTCCGCTTCAATTCTGAATTTTATATCGAAATGTTTTTATATCCTTGTGATAGTAACTCTATTGTTCTGATTATTCACAAGTGAACTGGATTTCCGTTCTTCTATCTCAAGATACACATATCTAATTAAGAATAGACTTAAATTATCGTGTAGCAACGCAAAAGATAAATCATTCTTGATTGCTAATGTCCCATAATGTACGTACAAGTAACAGGAATGAGTTAATACGTATTTTCTATGGAATTGGTGGAAAAATAATGGGTAGCTTAAATGATAAAGCAACCGGCCGGTAACCAGAATATGCTAGGATTGTATCCTAGCCTGAAGTCAACGATCCTTCTTTTCAAGTTGTTCATACTTGTTAAGACATATCACTGTATGTATCCACTCTTGTTCTTCTTTTACATAACTTTATGGACAAGCAATATGACAATAATTACGATGTTTTCTTTTTATTTTAAATCAAATTCACACCCTTATCTTTGGAAGAATCTATTCGCAAACCGAATAAATGCCTGTTCTCCAACAACCTTTTGCTCCTGATGAAAATGTAGCCATAAAATGATGAAGTCCATCTGTATAAGTATGATTTCGGATAGCTTCCTTGACATCAGGATTTATATTCAAGTATCTCTCATGATCAAATTCCTGTCGTTTGGCACATCGATATTTGAGATGCATATCAAGTTTATAATAATAGGTTTCGTTCAATACAAGACCAGGTGGCGACAATAAATCAATCGGTGTTAGTGAATGTAGCATTTTCAACTGCTTGTAAGTATTTATAAAAATACGTCTATAGTCTTCTGCGAAACCAAAGTCCATGATATCACAAACGGTTACGTTCGAATGAACGTAATATTCCATTGGAGTGAGGATATATGGTGGCATACTTTGATCTACTTTAACTAAATACTCTTCAATAGATTTGCTACGATAATAAATTAATGCTATCTTTGCATTGTTTCTCTGTGTCCAGGTCATTACAGTTTGGTTACTTGTATTTTTGCAGAATGCTCCATGAGGAATATGAAAGATGGTATTATTTGCTCTACCTAAAACTTTTGTTTGTAATGCTGCTTTACATATACGAGGATATGTTTCAAATAATGGATGATTCGGTCTCAACATTGTACCTTCTCCATACATATACGTCCAACGAATACGAATTGCGCATAAAGGGTGTTGTTCAAGTTCTACAAGAAGATCATTAAGTGTGTTCACTGAAACATTTTGTTTTTCAAAGTAAAAATATTCATCAGTATCAAAATATGCCACCCAATCTGCATGTATTCCATATTTATTGATACACTCATGAGCTTGAATCTCTTGGTATTCGAATAGAAATAATTCTGTAGTGTTCTGTTGCCACGGAACGTGTGTTACTACTCCAGCTGCAATGAACGGTTCTAATACAGCGCTTATATTACTATCATAACCAGCCAAAATCCTATTATTGTCATAAACGACAATGTGAGAAAAGCCACTTATAATATGTCGTAATAGGAATTCTGCAATATAATGATCATTTCTAACTATCGTACAGATCATAGATCGATAACGTAGACCATGGATAGATGAATAATTAGAACGAAGACGAGATATCAATTTCACTGCTTCGTCGAAATTCGATGTTAATTTAACAACAGTTAACTTTTCAAATGACCAATCTCTTTTATCAATGAGTATTCTACCAATCATCATTAAAAATGTCAACATACATATTTTTATTAAACATTTTTGTAAAAAATGAATATTTCTTCGTCTAACCATGATTGGATTTCGAATTAAGTTTTGTTCTATTGAAAAAAATTTCAACTACAACAAGAAGAGAAAACGAACAATATACAAATTAGTTTGTGTTCTCAAATAAAGAGCCTTTAGTATCATTCCTACAGGATTCAAATATGAAAGACAATGAAGCCACTGCAGTAATAGACAAGAACTCTTCATCATGTCTGTCACGTTTATTATGAGAAAAAGAAAGATTCAACTCAAAAATATGATTCTACACTTTTCTTTCTCTAAAGATCTGCAATCATACCAAAGATTTTCGCTAGAATGCTTTTACTGACACTCGCAGAATCTTTCCAAGAAAAAACTTCAGCCAATGTATGAGTAAGCAAGAAAGAGAAAGACATTTGAAGAAAATATTTATAAGGAAATATTCGTCGACCATAAGAATGATTTGTAACGAAGTTAGATACAATACAATTCTTTATCCGTATATTTTAAGAGTCATTTACAATCGTGTTTGACAAAGATAGTCCAGATCTTAGTGATTACGTTTTACAAAATATGATTCTTAAACAGCTGTTAATGTATGTAGCAAGAAACTTGAAATTTTTCTTACAAACACACTCTCCATATAGATATTGGTAGATCGAGCTCGCCGAGCTGATTCTACGATTACTGACAAAGGAGAGATGTCACATATTCAGGATATCGGACATGCACTTAATCATTCCGAACCTGGAACATGTCTTTGGATGTTCGATAATGATTTCAGTCTTAAAAAGTTTTGACGGGAATTCATACTCGTTTTTAGACACAACATCGTATTAGACAAACAGAGAAATCAGAAGAATGTGACTAAAAATTCGGAATGGAATTATTTCTCATAGAACAAGGCTCAAGATCCCAATGAAATTGGCCGTGAGTTCGTAATCCAATGTATCAGAACATTGTAACAGTTTTAGTCCGATGTTCGTAACGGTTGTGAAGACTTTTCTCTCTCATTTGTAGGTGTTTGTGGCTCTTGTACTCTAATCAATTAATCATACTGATAATAGACGGCGTTAATCTCTGGAGAAATTAATTAATATATAATTACTAGATGATACACAAGTCAAAACTTACATGTGAAATACGGTGCGAAACTTTAAATGTCGATTATCTAGAAATTGATAATTTGTAAAAAAAAACCGAATAATCGTTATCTCAATTATTCAACACAGTGTATGTTGAAAGGGAAGCGAAATCTGTTAACCACTAATAGATGATATGTTGTAGTTCCATGACCTAATCATTTTCGTACTCATGGCTGCAACAGGTGAGCTGTAATAGAATTTTGACGTAGCCATGGAAGGAGGCGAAGTTCTCATGACTACTTATAAAGGAAATTGACAATGGAAACATGATAGTATTTAATAAAGGATGAGCCAAAAGTCTTGGTACTTTGTAGAAAAATTTACTTTTCTCTTTTATGACAAATCAAGACATTCTTCAAGTTGGATATATAGTCAATCAGTACAAGATGAGTATTATTCTGAATTTTCAAAACTATAGCCCAAGTTATAGCCACGATATATAACGTCGAACTAAGAGAAAATTTTTTTTCGCATGACATGATAAAGTTTTCACTCATAAAAAACATATAGAGTAATTGATTTTCATTCTAAATCAAAAGGCGAACAACTCAATATTCTACGTTTTCATAAGTGACTGTAGTCCGTTTTGCTGATTGACTAATCTTCTTTATTAATCAAACATTAAAATCTTCTCATTTAAGGATCATCTTCGTACATAATTGTTTCAAGTTCAAAGTTGTTCTTCAAATGTTAATAATTATTTCCGTGGCATTGATATGAAATTGTAAAAGTGACGTAACTGGAGAAAAATATATAAAGATCAAACATAAAAAAGACACTGTCGAAGAAAATTGACGCATGTAAAATGGTCAAAACATAACATAGAGCTAATTAAAGTTATGGAGATTTAAATTATATACCACAGATACCTATTTAGGCTGTCGACATAATATTACTTAGAATAACTTTCCAGTAAATCAGTTGTTGGAGTTCTGCTTTTTACTTTTTTCTTCTTCTAATTTTATACAAGTTCTTCATAATTTTTAATTCCGCGTCATGCGAAAATAATCTTTTCTTAGTTCGACGTTATATATCGTCGCTATAACTTGGGCTATAGTTTTGAAAATTCAGGATAATACTCATCTAGTACTGATTGACTATATATCCAACTTGAAGCATGTCTCGATTTGTCATAAAAGAGAAAAATAAATTTTTCAACAGAGTACCAAGACTTTTGGCTCACCCCTTACATTACTCAACTTAAGTTAATGGTTACGTTGCATTACTGAAAATAAAAATTCCAAAACTTTTACACTATGGAATGTTTTCTGTTTTAAAACCTTGTCAGAAAAATCTGATGTTGAAGATTCGATGTAGTTTCATTTCCTCTTTTAAATGGAGAAAACCGCAGATCATCTTCTAGTTCCTATCAAAAATGATTTCGAAAATACTTAACCTTCTTTTAATTTCAAATGAATATTAGTTCTCTTTCTTTTACCTGATATGTGCACAAAACGAGCTATATCATAACCATCGATGAATATATGCAATAAAAGCAATGAAAGTATTAATCGATAGAGACAGAGTAATTTTTGCGTCTATATAAACGACACGTGGGCCAGCCAACTAAATAATGAATGACAGCGATGTAGTAAAAGCAGGTGATACATAGGTAGATAGATAGAAGGTAATAAGCCACGTTTGTTATCCCTGAATGATTCATGAATAAAAATGAACAAAAGAGAACGTATATGATCGAAGTGAGTTGCATTTGTGACTAGAAAAAGATAATCATACGACAAGGTTTACTTTTGTTTAACAAAAAGTTAAACAGAATTTTTTAGCATCCATATTAATAAGATGATATTGTTGAATGATGCATTAGGATAGATTTATTCACATTTGGTAAGAAATTGATATGTAGTACTGTACGAGAAGTTTTATGGTATTTAAGAGTGTATGATAGCAATTTTTCTAATGATTCATCTTATGAAATTTTAAAAATGATACTTTCAGTTGCTAGAACTCCTTATTCTCGATGTTTTGAACGACTTTATGTATGTTCTACATGTTTATCACGTTACATAGACAACATATGCGCTAAATGTATTCAATGAAATAAAAAATATCAAATAGCATATTTTTTGGTGGCGGATATAACAGCACAACTTGTTCTTTTATTCTAGCGAACGACCTTTATGCAAAAACTTTATAATATAATACATATACACGACTGAGGTTGATTATCAGTATGCCTTGTTATAAAAGTTTAAATATTTAAACTTAGATTCTAGTGACGGGCTATGTTCAACTTTCATGAAAAAATTTTATGAAAAAGTTCGCGAAGATAATTTTGATTTAGTTCTCATCGTTCAAATACATGCTGATGGTAAAACGTATAATTGATATTAATTAGCGGGTAGCCCATAAATAATTATATTCGCAGTAGTTTTGACATTTTCCCTGTATTATGCCCATGATTGAAACACTTTCTTTTTTGTCAAAAGATAGCGATTGAAAGTCTCTAGAAAATCATATATAATTGACTCAAAAACTATTTTCGATATATTTGGATTGCAGATATTTTTTATAGAATTATTTTGTTTCTTTTTGTTTGCATGATCACAGAACTAACAAACTAGAAGATCATGTAGATCTCGATCTGCTCTACAACTCTTGTTCAGGAAAGATGGTCAAAATTTTGCTCAGAAAGAAGTTAGGAGATTCAGATGGATGATAGTATCACTTTCTTCCAAAGAAAGTGGATCTGACAAATGACATTTACTCATTTGTATCGCAAAACCTAGTTTCACAAATCAATACTGTTATGATATAGTCAACAAATATCTACAGGTAAGTATTGTTACTAAAAATATTGTTATAGAACAAACGAGAGTTTCTATTCGACAATCAGAATATCTATCATTTGTAATACTTTCTTTGAGTTTTCGTCATAATTCTTTTTTCCATACGAAAACTAGTCATATAATGTTTCGTCGATGAGTAATTTTCTTATCATAAAAGACATGAAAACTTCATTCATTACAAATTTGCAAATTATGACAATTCTCACCAGAGTTAACAATTCATGCAAAATACTGTATAGAAATGGCCATACTCATTGTCAAAGTGTCAATCAAATCTTCTAGAAATAATTAAGAATCGTTTTCCAATGGCAGTTTTTCCTTCTACCCTTTTCGTGTATACGAACAAAACTAAAACGATATATTTTAATGTATTATTGGCAAAATATCCATTTATTTGCGTTATTTTTCTACTGTCAGATTTTGTTTGTTTATTTCTTTTCAATGAAAGCAAATTTTATAGCAATTTCTTATGCTGTTTCATTTTGTGCTTTTGTGGTAATATTCTTACTCATCACCATCATTAATAAGGGTAGTAACTGGTTTATTTTCCACAACGTTCTAGGTATTGATTGGAATAAGGATACAAAGAAAGACAAAGAGGACGGCAAAGATAAGATACCCATTAATGTGTACCTCCACATCGACTTAGATTACAATGACGTGGAGAATATTCTTCCACTGAAATGCGCCATATGCCTTTTAAGCGATGTACTAGTATCCGCTATACTCGCAATTTTCGTGTCGATCATTTTTACTAGCCTAGTACTGCCGAATGATAGATTAGCAAATGGTAGTAAGTGTCCTGATTAGAATGCTTACTGTTTCGGTAGAAATGGGACTTCTGATGTTGGCTCATTCAATTATTCTCAAGGAAAATATATCAACTTTTCCATTGATTCCAGCGTTGTATGATGTGTGGGATGGATTTACCAAGACATTACCATTAATGATGTATTAGATAAGCTTGGTACATGCGGTAGATTACTTGGCATTGTGGCATCCATCATTTCCTTAGTTTATTATCTCTCCTACCATAAAAAATAATGTTGCCTAAGTTGTCTGTGCATGATTCTTCCAGCAATAACTCTTGCTGAACTAGGACTCATATCTGGTATACGTGACCAGAGGGACCATCTCAAATTACGATCATCGTTTTCTCGATCGTAATAATAATGGTATTTGTTGGTTGGTGTTGGGCATTGTAGCGCTCATGCTGCTTACGTTGCCATTCAACCAAATGTTGTTCCAAATGCTGTGATTGCTGTCCTTGTTGCTATTGTCTTCTTTGCGATGAGCACAAAGGATATCCATGGTGCTATGTCCCTGACTGTTGTAAAAATTTATGGGCTCGTATTTGCTGCCAAGGTACTCAAGAACAAAGCCAAAGGACAAAATCTACCACAAAACATGTCAGGACATCCTCTTCAGTGTACCCAGTTTCAGTCAATCAACCTCAAAAATCGGTGAAGCAATCTTGAACGACTGGAATTTCGCTTCAAAAAGTTGATTGATAAATCTGAACATCATAAACTGTAACTGTCACTCTTTCGTATTTTCAACTCTCTAAAAGAGGTATAATACGGAACTACATGTTTGGAAAGAACTCGAAACGTTCTCTTTTTAAGTCGAAATAAACTCGAGTTGTTGTAACTTTCAACAAACTCTGATGCTAATAGAATACTGAGATATCTGTTCGACCGCTTCATTTTCTTTCTCTTTGCTTTGCTATTTGACAAGATTTAATATTACAAATATGCTTAAAATTCAAATCCTTATGCAACTATTGACACTATCAAAGTACTGTGATGAATATGGCGCTAAGTTCTTCGGGGATGAATTTGATCGAAGGTAGTTGCATAATTACAACAACTTTGGTTTACGATAGCTTCTTGTATGAATGATTGCATGACCATATTCATTCATCGAGTCATATTGCCATACCACTTATCTATGAGTCATTCTACTTGTATTTATCTTACGTGTCAGCATCTCTATGTAATAGATGACTCGAAATTCACAATACATTATATGCACTCCTTAACCAGTAATTGATCTATTTGAAGCAATACGCAATGTGACTTTAACATGTTTGCCTTAGAATTCCGATCGAGAAGGTCGAACGATTCTATAGCCATTAATACGATTATTGGTTAGGGTGGGAATACAGTTTGTGACTCTATACTACATTCGTACTCACATTCCACCCATACCCACGCCCAAGATTTGAAAGCTTTCAATACAGATAGGTAGCGTTGAAATACAAACATATGGGTCAGCAAATTAAAAGATTGATTTGTGCATCTACTGCCTTAGGCGGGAGGAGCTAACGCAACAAGTTTTGAAAGAAATGTAAAATACTTTGTGTAATAACTGGCAATATCAATAATCAAATAGCTATTACGAGAGTTAGACTAACATTTCTTTCTTCAAGTGTAGTAATATCTTCCTATCATCTAGAAAATAACTGGCAAATTCGTACGACAAGAGCTACTTGTTTCATCTTTTCTTTTTTAATAGATATGATCTATTCTTTTTCTAGTAATAGAGAGAAGTTACAAATTTTTATTCATAACTAAAGAGTTTTACAAAACTGTTCAAAATTATCATCATTTGCTTCAATAATTTTGAAAGTATAAAATTGCAATCTTTCATGCACTGTCGATCGTTGCATTCTCATCTTCACTATCATTGTCATTGTCATCATCATTGTTATAAATAAATTCTTCTAATTGTTCAAATGTTACATTACAACAAGTATTCGAGTGTGGTACTGCCAATGCTTTGTCCTTTATTTGTTTTCTTATTGTTTTTGATAAATTGATACTATAATATAATATTAATACTTTTAAGTTTTTCAATGCATATAATATAAATAAATCTTTATCTGTATATTCTTCTCTATTGTTGCTGCATGGATATGACAATGATAATTCTTCTAGACTATGAATTGTTGATATAGCCGTAAATGATGGAAAACAAATTGATTCTAAGTTTAAGATTTTTAAATTTTTATAATCAGCTAAACTAATTAATAAATTATCTAAATTTTCTCTTGTTATACTTATTTTATTAAATGATAGAGTTTTAAGATAAACAAATTGTTTTAAAATATTAACATGTGCGAAAGTTAAATACACTTCATATTCATTTTCAGTACAATCGGCTTCTGCAGGATATTGGATCATCATTAATTCGTCATAATTAATGTTTTTAGCACTTATTTCTAATTCTCTCAGAGTTTCTTTTAATGAAAGTAAATAATTGAAACCATCTATATTTAGTTTACTTTTTATCGGTGAAAATCGATGTGATTTTAATGCATTGATTGTTGATATTTTACTTAAATAATATAATAGTTCATTTGTAATCAATGTATATTGAAGATGAATATATTGTAATTGAGGCAGATATGGAACAGATGATAGAATTCTCAAATCATTCGGTACGATATCAAACCATTCTAAATATTTTAAATTGAAAAGACATTGAATAGAATTTAGTTGTTGAATTCTACTTCTTTTACATGTATAATTATCTTGACGAATAATTAGTTTTTCTAATTTTGTTAAATGTTTAAAATATTTATTAATATCAAATTCAATTTTTGTACTTGATGTAACAAGAATAAAAAAATATGTTAAGTTAGGAAGAAGATGTAATGATGATAAAACGACGAGACAAGATGTGGTTGGATCGGAAAGTTCTCTGTTTAAATTCAATTTTCTATAAGGTTGCATTGCTAAAATTAATTTTTGTAATGTTTGAGAAATAGAATTAAATAAATTCATTATAAATAAAGGACTTAATGAAATAAAACATAATTTAAGACAATTTAATGAAGTAAAATGAAATTGAAAATCAATTGATTTACTAATTGATAATCCACATTCATATTTACCAATTTCAATTTTATTAATATGACGTAAGACTTTCGAATTTGAAACAGTAATCAGTTGATTTTCATTTAATAATGTTAATTTTGTGTTTTTATTATAACAAAATTTATTCGTACTCAATATATTGTACCATGTTTTACATGTTAGTGAAGCTGAAATTAAAGAAGGAATAGGTAAATATTGAAAAATAAGTTGGTAACAAATTGAAGGAATTGTGGATGGTTCGAAGAGAACAGATGAGTTATCAGAAAGCTGTTTGTTGAATTTATTGGCTTCAACTTGTGTATCATCGAATTTTCTCTTTTTGGTTTCCATTCTATGTTGCTATTGCGTTGAATATAGCATTGACAGCTTTATCTCGAGAAACCAATAAACGATTTTCGTTATAGTAATAAATAGCAGAGAGCACAAAAGGACGCTTAAATTTAACAGTAGATGATATCATATTATCGTTCTATAAAATGAAAAAATGTTTATATTTTTTTGTGTCTTGTGTTTCTTGTGTCAAAACTTTTTCTATGATGATGATAAGACATGCTACAAAAACATTTGATGCTTTTATCACTCAGAGCTCTTGAGATATGAAACCATGACAAGAAAAATGTCCTTGTTTCATATATTATATGCAAAGACAAAGTTCATTTTCTCTTCTAAAATTTTGATGTGCTCACGCTGCTTTCCATGAAAGTAATTTTCAAATGTGTTTTCGACAAAAAAGTCAAAAGAAAATGTGCAAGAAATAGGGAATACGAAAGTTTTTTAAACTAAGCCAGATTTGCTCTCCCAGTTAGGATGTACTCCAGTTAGAATCTTCAAAGAAGAAAATTTAGCATCTTTCATCATATCGTTCTCACGATACGACCATATCATAATGTGTCTTAGAATAATATGCTATTACAAATACAATAAGGTTACATACGTACTTATTCTTTGTGTAAACGAGCTCTTGAAAATGAAGACGAATCTCAATAGATAATCATAAATTTTTGTTTTCGAAGTTAAAATTTGATTTGTAAACGAGAAAACCCATATTAGTGGTATTGAAAGGGCTCACGCTCCAAAGAGATACTTTTTAATAGTACTCTTTTGTACTGTATTGAGTACAGCTGATTGAAGTTTTTGGCTACTTAATGTTTCCCTATAGCTACTTAATCGACATACAGCTACGTAATCAATCTATGTGTAGTTAATAGGTGCAGGGTGTCGGTCTGGGGGTAAGTTTTCTTTTTCTAAATATCTCACATCTACACACCTAGACCCACACCTCGTAACTTCACAGAAGAATTGTTGTCATGTGAAATAGACACGTGTCACATAATTGCTTGAGTTTAATGTTGAAAATGACCTTTTGAAAGAGATCAAAAGCTTCACTGTATTTCTTGTTGAAATAAATAAACGGTTAATAAACTACGTAGTTCATTTAAGAATATATTTCTTTATTAAGTTTTTAATTCATCGTAAATCCTGTATTGATTAATCAAAGATATTATGAAATAGCGTGGATTATTTTGACAATAAAAAAGCAATCCGGGCTCTTCATTGGTCGCAGCATAGTTTATTTCATGCGAAATGAGATATTTGAAGAAAATGAGGAATATGAATTTCCTTTGACACAGCCATGGTGTTTTTCGAATTTCATGATGATTTTATTGTTGAAATGAATCTTAGAGTGAACAATGTTGATGAATACATTTATAGAAAGCATTTGTGGACATTTCTGTTTATTGGAAATCAATAATCGCATGTGTCAAAAAGTATCTTAGGGCTGAAGATAAATAATGAATATTTGAAATAGATAATGTTTTTCATTGGTTACACATTCTTCTACAATGTTTCTTTTATGAATTGTGGAATTAACTGAGCAATGACTTCGTCACCAGGCTCTGTTAGTGAAAGGTGGTGAACGCCTCTTTCTATAATCTCAAATTTCCATAGTTTAGGTAGTTTTGAACTCCACTCTTTTGCATCTTGCGCTGGGAACATACGATCATCCGCTCCGTGCAGAACCAATGCTGGAACGTTAATTTGATCAAGTTTATCATCGATTGCATCGCGGTTAAGAAGACAATTGAGTGCTGGGTCATAGCCTTCGGAGCCAGCATGTCGTTTAATCCACATCTGCTTAAGTTTTTCGTAGACTTTTTCGTTTACACGTGTAGGACCACCGAAAGATGCTGCTCTAGCAAGTATTGCTTCATCCGAAGGAATCTTTGTCTCACACCATTTATCACGGAACTGTCGAGCATTGGCTTTGCTTTGCTCTGTCACACTGTAGACTGTAGTTCCGAGCAAAATTAATCCCTTGACTCGTTGAGGTTCGAGTAGAGCCATTCGTAAGGCTATACAACCTCCTTGCGTAGTTCCGAGTACATAGAATTGATCAAGACCAAGTTTAGTGAGAAGTTGTAGTGAATCCGAGGCAGTATCCCAGAAAGTAAAGTCTTCACCACGACCTGTTGTTTCTCCATGACCATGTGCATCAATCGATATTAGATTATAGGGTGAATATCGAACGTCTTTAAGTTGACGGTCGAAGAACCGTGAATCCATCAGAAACGCGTGAAACATAACGATAGTTGGTAATGATTTATCGATAGGATGAGAAAGTCGATAGGCAAGATTGACGCCATTATCCAGCAGCATATGAAGCAGTTGTTTATGTGACATGATATCTGCAAACGAATATAGATGCGCTGAAAGTTATTTTCACCAAGTATTAACGTGTTATTATTAAGAGTGCGTCGTTCTTGCCACAAGGACTCAAACACAAAAAAAGAAGCTTTTTCTCCATACTCTATCTTATAAACGCACATGATACAGTGTGCTCTTTGATAACGTGATGAGAACAGAAGAAAAAAAAAGAGATTGCAAACGAATAATACAATCGACACAAATAACTAAAGCACTGTGAAGGCACGTGGTGATGTTTTTTTTTATAAGAGAAAGAAAAAAGCCAATGCACAGTGCACGAGAATATAGAAGCGAAAAGATCACTGTAATATATCCTATAACTTGTAATGAGAGAACCAATATGTAACGTGTTTGTGCATATGAACGAAGTCCATAATACTTTTAATATGTGAGAAGGAGATGGATGTTAATGTGACTTGTATTCATCAGTGTATGAAAATTATTAGCAACTAGAAGTATTTGTGTCAGTCAATAGATCTCTTCCAATGAACTGCTACAGTCGATATAGTACCAATTGCTCACACTATTCCATGATCATAATGCGAACATTGATTCCTGGCCCGAAGGATCCGAATCATAGAATGAATCAACCACAACCCGCTACCTCCTCGACTATTTCCGTCAAAGCCATTGCCAACTTCCCGTTCTTACAATTTTCATAAACAACAATTTCATGATCCCGCTGATTATGAGAATTCTCGTATATTAATTGCTTCACCAACATCACTGATAACTCTCTGTTAGGTTTATCGTCCGAATTCATCGAAACTGATGATGTTTGGCGTGAACTGTCTGA